TCCTCTCTGGAGGCAATCTGGACATCATCTGCATAGCCCTGTACTGGGATAGGACATATCACACCAGAGGGGGCACACTGACACAGCCACTTTAACCATTGGTTGATGGCACACACACACACACACACACACACACACACTCTCTCACACACACACGCGCACACACACACACTCACACACACACACCCACACGCACACACACACACACACACACACACAGAGAGAGAAGAATGACTAATGTCAGGCTTATTGGTCCAGAAGAATTATTAATAGAGGGAGAATCATCTGCTAACATCAACTCTGAGGGAACTGGCAGCATCTCCTCTGTGCAGTGGATGAAAGATAACAGTCTTCTGTCTCCTAGCAACAGCATCATCTTCTCATCTGATAACAGATCAGTGTCCATCAGTCCAGTGCAGAGATCAGACAGTGGAGAATATCAGTGTACATATAGAAACCCTGTCAGCTCTGAGATGGCAAAACTCAGCCTGATCATCAACTGTGAGTGTTAAACAACCAAACATCAAGACGATTCGAGCTCAGACCTGATGAAAAACAGACACTCTTCAGTGCTCCGTTTGTTCCTCTAACAGTGAGTCTCTTGTCTGTGTTCTAGATGGACCAGAAGATGTTTCTATTAAGGGTCAGGATGTGGTGGATTTAGGGGTGCGTGTGTCACTCTCTTGTTCTGCAAATTCTGAACCTTCTGCTTCATTCAGCTGGAAGTTTAATGGAAGAGACACTGATGTGACCACAGACACATTCACCATAGATCAGACTGACTTCACACACAGTGGAGATTATGAATGCACAGTCTGGAATAGTGTCACAAAGAGAAGCGCCTCACAAAAACACGCTTTACTAGTTAAATGTAAGTACTGTAGCAGCTAAAACTAACCTGAAATTAGTTAAGTTTTGATAACTAGTGCTTTAACTTACAATCTACAACTCTATTTTCAAAATATACAATAAATAAGTAAATACATAAATAACTCTCTACTGTTCTATACACCTCTATTGTAGCTTCTGCTCTTATTTTGTTTTAGAAATGTTGTGTTTCTTTAAATGTCTGTTACTGTTCTTGTATGTTTACCATAGTAGGTGGAGGGGGAGGCGGAGGCAGAAGATATCCCAGATAGCAAGTAACCAAATGCTAAATCAACAAAAAATGGAATGGAATTAATGTCTCAAGACCGTTTTGTTTCAGTGCCACTTTTGCACCTTCATTTAAGGGTGAAATTTCAACCAAAAAAAATCTATCAAGTCATTCAATCAATATTACACCGTTGCTACAATCAGTGCTAGAATGTTACAAGACTGTTGCTGAATCAGTGATACAATGTGACGTTGGTTCAGTATTTTTTTGGCACCCTCATTTAATGTTGAATCAAGGCTCAAATTTTAACAAAAAAAAAAGCTATAGTAATGTCACTTAATCAATGCTATACTGCAGTGCATTCTTAATTCTACATTGTTTAAACAACATTGAAAATACAGTTGTAATAAAATGTAATGTCAACATTATTAAACCTGATGTACACAGTTAATATTAACTCATCATTAACAACTATGCTTCATCAATTCCTGACCATTACAAAGATTCTATTAATACAGTTAAACACAGTATAGAAAAAAAAAAACTTTCCAGTAGTTAAAGGTGGGGTAAGCGATTTCTGGTAGCCAATGTAGACATTTGAAATCACCAAAACAAACACGCACCTACCCCAAAAGGGTCTAGCCCCTATTTTGATAGCTCCGCCCCACACATACGTACGCAACCCAGGCCCCTCCACACTCATCCTCCAATACAGACAGCAAAGGCGGCGGCGGGCCGAGCCCAGTGGCGGACTGGTCTTCTGGAGCACCGGGAGTTTTTGTGGGAATGTGGGCCGGTGTTCTGACAAATAACGCTACCTGGCTATTGCGTAAATATAAAGAATGAATTAAATGTACGTAGCCTATATCCCTCCATCGGTCCAGACGAATGACCCGCATGGCCCACTTGACTTGAGTCAAACATTCTAATTAATTCAGTGCGCTCTTGCTCAGTGCAGCGGCTCAAAAGTCAAAATGTTTTAGCCAATCAAAGTGAAGAAGGCGGGATTTACTGTTCACAGAAGCTGATCTGAGCGGCATTTGAATGCTACAGCTAAACATGATGAGACAATTCAGCAATATTTACAAACTGTTTACAAAGAAAAAAAATGTTAAATGACAGACATTAATTTTCAGGGATGCAAACTATACTGATGCTACTACTGGCCTTTTCGAATTTCTCAGATTTTAATGCCACTTGCATTATTTGCCACAGTGTAGCTATAAACATTAATGTAGCCGTTTTTATCAGACATAAGATAAGACAGTTAATGTTTGTATATCGTTATATTTCTTCTGTCACGTGTCTAAGAAAATGTTTTTAAAAAACTAAAAATATAGTTCTCAAATTTGCTCTAGAACAGGGTTCCTCAATTAGTTTTCGCAGAGGGCCAAATTCTGCCAACAATACTAAGCCAAGGGCCACTGACCTATATATAATTGTTGTTATTATTATTACAATTATTATATTATTGTTGCTTTTGTTAAAATAATCACAAGATTGTCACAAGATGAATATTCAGATTCCCCCCCAGTGCATTTTTGCATTTAGATACAGAAGAACTTTGCCTGATGAATATTAAAAACAAGTGAACAAACAAAAAATCTGGATCTCCACGTCTGCCATGCAAATCAACTGTTCCAGCTCTTTCCCAGACTGGATCTCTTCTCTCCACTTTTCCAATTTGCAGATTCAATTATTAGATTTGTCAGTATTCATATTTTTTTGGGATCAAACTGTAACACCGTGTGTCCTAACCAGACACGATGCGATAAAAAGTATATTTTCCTTGTAGTTTTTGTCCTAACCACCCGCGACAGTGACACGTGACAAGCATGGGATTCTATTTTAAGAACGGTTTTTATTTTCTGCGACGTCGCGGCAGGAACAACATACAAAATATGACAGTGATAATCTCAGGTAATGATTATGTGCTTTATTCAATGTTAATAGTGTCTAATGTGAGTTTGAATATTATTTTGCGTTATCTTTATAGCCATAGTGAAAGCAACAATATTTTACCTCAGATCTTGAAAATAAATTAAAGCAAACTTACGTTAAAACTGTGAACTCACAGCGAACCAACACGTGTATTCCATAACAAAGATATCAGTCACTCACTCACTCACTCACTCAAAACTGTTCAGTCCTTTCACATTTGAATCATCTATTTTCCGTGTCCACTTTTCTTTTCTACACACTCACCATGTTTTTGCTGTCACGTCGTATCTACACTGGACGCGACAAAGCATTGCAAATCATTTGAACGTTGTGTCGGTACGTTATAAATAGAACGAGTCAGCAGTTTACTGTCGGGGATTTGTCGTGTCGCGCCGCATCCAAGACAGCATCACTGATTATAACAAATTCTTGTATTTTATTACGTCGCGCCGCGCCGTAAGTTAATGTAGCTTTCTGATGCTGCGTTTGAATTTTCATACCACATTATTTGAAATTAGCGCGGGCCAAACTTTTTTCTCTTTCAGGCCTGATGTGACCCGAGGGCCGCCTATTGAGGAATCCTGCTCTAGAATATTGTAAATCTGAAGACTTTCACTTTAAAGTGCCGTAATTAGGTCTATTTTTATGTTAAATATATTTGAATGTAATGTTTTAATGGTTTAATTAATTATTCCCATTTATATTTATGCTCAGTTAATAATGGTTCTTATCAATACTGAAAACTATTTTTGTTTCTTCATTTTTTTGTGGAAACTGACACTTTAACTTTTTCAGGATTATTTGTTGAATGCAAAGTTAAAGAACATCATTTTTATATATATATAAATAATTTGTATAAGTATACTGTCACTTAAATCAATTTAATGCAACCTTGTTGAATACAAGTATTATTATTATTATTTTAAATCTGACTGAATGGTGATGTATCACATTTTCCACAAAAATATTGGGCAGCACAACTGTTTTCAACATTGATAATAATCAGAAATGTTTCTAGAGAAAATCAGAATACTAGAATGATTTCTGATGGATCATTGCTGTTAATAGTGTTCATCGTCTGTTTGATTACGTCTTTAATTGATTACGTCTTTAATTGATTTTTCCGTACATTTCTGCCATATGTACATTAACTGACAGTCACCACTGATAAGATACCACTAAATATTGTAGATAGCCTACTTAATTTGCTGTAAAGTTGCTTTGCAATGATTTGTAAGGTGAAAAGCGCTATACAAATAAACTTGAATTGAATTGAATGTGACACTGAAGTAATGTTGCTGAAAATTCAGCTTTGATAACAGAAATACATTTTTTTTTTACTATAAATTTGCATAGAAAACAGCTATTCTAAATTGTAACTATTTATTTCACAATTTTTACTGTATTTTTCATCATCATACATTTTTTCATCATATAAACACTCTGTCACACACAGGCAAGAGACAAGAGGAGTTCAGGTAAACAGAGGGGTTTATTGTCAATGCTGTGATGGTCAGTGTTGGGAAGGTTACTTTGAAAATGTAATAGGTTACAGATTACAAGTTACCCTATTTAAAATGTAATAGTAGTGTAACTTTTTCAATTACTTTATTAAAGTAATGTAACTGATTACTTTTGATTACTTTTCTACATTTCTAATGAATGTTTTCAACTGTTAATCATTTTCAAACATTTTACACCATGCAGCGTTAACCTTACGGTAGTGCTCAACACTGATTACTGTCAGACTTTCAAAATCCTTCAGCACTTGAATTAAGATGATAATAACTGAACACATCGACTACAAAATCAGACTTTAGTACCGCCTTTTACTTTGAGATTGATCTGAAGTTCAATGCAGATTTAAATTCATAAGAAATAGTTTACTGATACTGTTTTTGAAACCAAATCTTTGCATAACTACAGGAAACACTGCATCTAACAATGGTTTGGAAAAAAAAGTTAATTAAAAAATAATAATAAATAAAAGCATATACATCAACTCAAATACGGTTAT